CCCCGCACCTCCCCCACTCATGCTCTCTCAAAAATGAATAAACATGAAAAAAAAATAATAATAAAGGCAAATACCAATGGACCCTCAGGGCATTATGCTAAGTGAAATAAGCCAGGCAGAGAAACACAAATACTGTATGACCTCACGCATATGCGGAATCTAAAAAAAGAGAACTCACAGAGAACAGAGACCAGAATGGTGGTTACCAGGGGCTGGGGAGTAATGCAAAGATATTAGTCAAAAGGGACAAACTTCCAGCTTCGGAGATGAATTAAGTGGTAGAGACGTAACGCATAGCATGGTGACTACAGTTAACAACACTCTAGTACCTACTCTGAAGCTGCTAAGAGAGTAGACCTTAAGTGTTCTCACTACGAAAGAAGAAATGGCAATCACGTATTGTGATGCAGACATCAGCTACCCCTCTGGTGGTAATCGTCCTGCCATACGTACGAGTATCAAATCAACACACAGGTACACCTTCAAATTACACAATGTTGTATGTCAACTGTAGCTCAACAAAGCTGGGCACAAATACAAAATGATAGGGCTGCCTGGGTGACTCGGCTGGTTAAGCGTCTGACTTGGGCTCAGATCACAATCTCGTGGTTCGTGAGTTCGAGCCCCATGTCGGGCTCTGGGCTGACAGCTCGGAGCCTGGAGCCTGCTTTGGATCCTGTGTCTCCTTCTCTCGCTGCCCCTCCCCTGCTCACGCTCTCTCTCTCTCTCTCTCACTTCAAAAAGAAATAAAACTATAAATAAGTAAATAAAAATAAAAATAAAAGGGGCACCTGGGTGGCTCAGTCGGCTGAGCGCCAGACTTCGGCTCAGGTCATGATCTCACAGTTCGTGGGTTCACGCCCCGCGTCAGGCTCTGTGCTGACACCTCGGAGCCTGGAACCTGCTTCGGATTCTGTGTCTCCTCTCTGTCTGACCCTCCCCTGCTTGCACTCTGTCTTTCTCTGTCTCTCTCTCTCTCAAAAAGAAGTAAACACATAAAAAATTTTTAAAATAAGTAAACTAAGAAACGATGAAGGCAAATCCGCTCCAGCAGGCAGAGGGCTTCAGCCTGGGGCTCCGGGCACCACGATGCGCCCACCACCCACCTTCGGGCATGGTCCTGGCGCTGACGTAGGCAGCCACGCTGCACCTCTCCTCGGGGGCATCTTGGTTGCAAGCCTGCAGCTCGATGCGGTAGCCGGTGAAGTGACGCAGGCCGGAGATGACCAGCGACTCTTTGTTCACCACCTTCTCGAAGGGCTTGTGCTCTTCCGGGCTCGTGGGCACGCTGCTGGAAGTGTTGGGGAAACCAGGCACCGTGGGCACGGCGGCCGTCACGTTCCCAGCGTCGGCGAGGGCCCTGCGCTTCCGCGACGGCCTGTCATGACAGCAGGGCACAGGCGGTCACACGATCCCCATGTTTAAAAAAAGAAAACCGTGGACGCTGGAGCATCAAAGGCTCAAAATCAAAGACCGCGGTGCAGCGGAGATGCGAGCAGGCACACAGATGAAATGCAGGTTGCCAGGAGTTACAACCTGGAGCGGCTGCCCTCGGGGTGAGGGGGGAGCGGGGCGCCCCAGGACCACGAGCGGCAGCCCCACACCAACATTCCCCTTGCATGTGCTTGATTTCAGGTTTTCACTGTGCAGATGGCTCAGCCACCCAGGCTCAGTGTTAAGTATAAGATGCCCGAAGCATGTGAGAGTCTAGCTTTTCGGGAACCCTGTCACACAGCATGGACCCAACAGCTCCAACTACCGGCCAGCTTCAGCAGTGTAAACGGGAAAAATGCATCTTCTAGATCTTATTTTCCATTTAGGGCGTCTGCATAATACGAGCGACTAATTTTTCATTCTTGGGTTAAAGAAAAAAAATCTTACCACTCAAGTTGGTAAGGGGAACTCCAAAAAAAGCCCCCCAAAACAAAAAAAATGCAGTCGACACACGTTTTCCCATTTAAGAGGATATAAGAAATAAACGCAATTGCCTAAAAATTTATAAACACACACCAAACAAAAGCATAGAGAAAATTCAAATTATTCACCATCCCACCGTCCGCTGTTTCCTGTGGGCAATTTTTTTTTTTTCTGGAAATATTATGTGCAGGTATAAAGAAAACCGAGCTGGCTTTATGACCCTTTGTTCGCTTCTTGTATCGGACACATTCCTCAAATACTTTCCTTCGAACATAATGCCTTAAGTACTGAGCACAAATTTTATGATTTTTTCTTTTTCAACGTGAAGGTTTCCCCCTCCTTGCTACCCAAGTACTGCCTGCTCATGGCAGAAAACTTGGAACACTGGAAAATATTCAATTGGATGCATGAGCCAGAATTTACTAACCGTCCTCCTATGTTACCTAATACAGACCTACCTCATGGTATTACATTTTTGCATCACTGTGTTTCACAAGATACGGCTCTTTTAAAGATTGACGGGTTGGGGCGTCCCCGTATCAGGCAGGTGTACTGGCACCATTTTTTTGCCAACAGCGCTTCCTCACTTTGTGTCTCTGTGTCACCTTTGGGTGATTCTCATCATGGTATGTTTCAAAGGTTCTCAGTATTCTTATATTTGTTACGGGGATCGGTGATCAGTGCTTACTACTCGCGGAAAGCCCACACGATGGTTTGCGTCTTTTAGCAAGGTTTGTAAATGAAGGCGTGTCCGTCGTTTTGTCAGACATAATGCCCTTGCACATACCCAACAGACTACAGTGTGGTATAAACATAACATTTACATGCACGGAGAAACCAAAAAATTCACGTGACCGGCTTTATTGCGATATCCGTTTACCACGGGGGTCTGGAACCAAACCCACAATGCCCCTGAGGCATGCCTGCGTAAGTGTCCCAGGTCTTTTTTTTCTTTTCTTTTTTTTTTGTTTTTGTTATTGTAAATATTGCTTCAATCGATCGTTGTCTGACTGTCTTATTAGATCCTAAAAGTAGACTCTTAGAAGAGAAATCACTAGGCTGTATCTGTTCATCCCTATGGCGAAACTGCTCTCCAGGAGCTTTGAATTGACCTGGGGTCTCCCCAGCAGCCCCTCAAAACTGCACCTCAGGACCACCACATCAATACTGAGGGTTACAGGGTTTCCTGGGGTTTCGTTTCGTTTCAGATTTTGAACCAAGAGACTCCATATTTTTTTTTCATATTCTGTTTTTATAGTCTAACTATTGCTAGTATACCTACTGGCTTTTTGTTTATTTACATTGTAACTTTCTTTCCCAAACTCTGCTCTAAGAGCGTCAGAGTTGATATTCTTGGGTTTTCAAGGAACACACTAGAAAAAGAGTCAGCAAACTCTTCCTGCAAACGCTAGAAAGTAAATATTTTGGATTTTGTAGGACACACGGTCCACATCTCTACTCAACTTTCAATGGCTTTCCAGCTATTGTGGCTTGGAAGCAGCCATAGACAAAATATAATCAGATGGGTGTGGCTGCATTCCAATGAAACCTCATTGACAAAAACGGGCAGCCAGCCTGCACACCGTAGCTTGTCTAACCCTGCCCTAGGCTATCCGCACACACAAGTGACCTTATTTCCCACAATCCATTCTTTACTATTCTAATTTCTATTTTGTATCTTATTGCATTGGCTGGATACCCAGGAAAATGTTAATTAGTAACGATGACAAAGAGTTTCCTTCTAACTATAACTGGGAGAGTTTCAGTACAATGTTACCTCGGCTGTTGGTTTCATCTAGATAATATTTACCTTGTAGCAGAAGCATTCCACTCCTACTTTTATGCGAGGCCTCTTCTTGTTTCCCTCAGTTAGAAATTTTTTTTTAATGTTTATTTATTTTTGAGAGAGACAGAGACAGAATGCAAGTGGGTTAGGGGCAGAGAGAGAGGGAGACACAGAATCGGAAGCAGGCTCCAGGCTCTGAGCTGTCAGCGCAGAGCCTGACGCGAGGCTCGAACCCACGAGCCGTGAGATCATGACCTGAGCCGAAGTCGGATGCTCAACCGACTGAGCCACCCAGGCGCCCCTCAGTTAGGAATTTTTAATTAATACTGTTGAATGAGATTATCATACGATTTTCCTCTTTGGACCTCTTGATGAATTATCCTATCTCCTGATCATAAACTATCATCACATTTCTGAGTTAAACAAAATTGTCAGCATGCTGTTTCAATCAGGACATATGGATCTAAAGTCTCACGTTAGCTGGTCCTGGGGTTTCTGTTAATGTAGCATCTTCATCTGTGTCTGCTAAGGGGTATCATGTTAGTTTCATAAAACACCTGGAAAGAGTTCCATAGATTGGTATGCTCTGAGAAGTTTCTATATTACAGCAAATAGCTGCTCTTTCAGAATTTCAAGTAACTCACCTGTAAAACTCTCTGGGTCTAGGGCCTTTTTGTGACATAATTTTTTTAAGGTTTTGACTTGCAATTTTTAGTCATTTTCCAAGGTTATTAGAATATTTAATTTTTTCCACTTCTAGAATCAGATGAAATTAAAACTTCCCTCTTCACCAAAAGCTTCAAGTTGAAGAACGCAACACTGTCCAGGAAAGTCAACATGAAAATCTTCCTTCGACCCTAGTTTTCTGTCTCCTGCCTTACTTCTAATTATTTGTGATTTTCATCCTTAGATTTACAAGTTCAGCGATCTTGATTTCCCCTCCCCTACAATTTGTATTTTCACCTTTTTAAGTTGTTTCTTAACTTCCAAAATCACTGAAGGCTACTAACTTGCATCGATGCCCAGTGTTGGCGATATTCTACGAGTTCAAGGTATGTGATACTCTCATTTCCACTCTTGTCCAAATGGACTTTAATGAAAGTCTCTCCACGTCTGCTTCTCCCAAAAGGTATCAAAGTGATTGACTTTCAATCACCAGGAAGTTCTCTGCTCAAATGCTTGAGGTCAATTTTTAATCTTTACCATAGTCAGAAAATGCGTGGTCAGAAAACGAACCCTCCTTGGGGGCGCACGTGTTATGATTTTCTGTTGGGTCAAAAGACCAGTGAAATTCTTGGGTGAAAACCAAAGATAGACCCATGTCAGCAAGATTGAGAACACTTCCATCCAGGCACAAACGGGTCAGCTGACCAGGACGCTGGTGCCTCGTGAGTAACTACTGAGAAATGGGTGTCTGAACAATGGGAAACAAGGAAGGTTCTCATCAAATGAGCTGAATGTATACACAGTGGCTCCCCTTTACCCGCAGTCTGGGCCCTCAGTGTCCACTGCCTACACACCCCACAGGCTCACACTGGTCCCCTGGTCACTGCTCAGGGACAAGTGCGCTCCTGGCGTTGTGAGCCCAGAGACCAGAGATGCCGCTCAACACCCCACCATGCACAGGGCGGGCCCCACAATGGACAGCGATCTGGCCCTAAATGTGAGTACATCTGAGCTTGAGAAACCTGGGTCTGGACCAAAGCCTCAAATTTCTAGGCCTTTCTTTTCTATAGATTATATTCCAAGTGGCCACTAGAGGTCAGACCAGGGCCACGCACCCATGCCCGAAAATAAACAAGGGAACCCACTGTGAGGCAATGAAATCCCTCCACATGGCCCTGATCTGCCTTGCTAGCCTCCCCTCTGGTCTCCCCCTGCCCCCAAAGAGCCCGTGACTCATCCTGAGGCCCTGCCCTGCCCTGGCATCTCTCTGCCTGTCCTCAGTGGGGTTCTGTGATACGGCACACCTCTGCTCACGCCCGCAATCCTGCACCTGTTACCCCAGATCAAAACGCTCTGTCTACACCGTAGATGTTGAGAAATTAACCTTTAGCAGGTGGATGCATGGAGGGGGATGTGTGGCATCTCAGAGGTACCCACAAATTACCCCCTCCCTCGTGTGCGTGTGTGTGTGTGTGTGTGTGTGTTTGTTGTTTTTTTTTTTT